GTGGTTACAGCAGGCGGGCGGGCTGGGGGCCAGGACTCCTGGGTTCTAGCCCCAGCTCTGTGCAGCAGTTTCACAAGCTTTTGTTCCCATAATAACCATGGGGTGTGTTCAGCTTCCCAGCCCCAGTTTTCGGCCCTGACTATTTGTCTGGCCCAGACGAGAAATGGGTCTCAGCAGGTGGCTTCAGCCGCCTGGGAGCTCCCTGCATCCTGGCACCTGGGGGGGCTCAGTCACCAGGCAGGACCACCCCCCCTTTTAGAGTTGGGGAAACTGAGGCACAGAAAAGGGAAGCAATTGCTGCAGGTCACCACAAGGGAACCCAGGAGTCCTGACACCTAGCTCCCCCTACTAGACCCCACTCTCCTCCCAAAGCTGGGGATAGAATGCAGGAGTCCTGGCTCCCACCCCCCGGCTGTAACCACTAGACCTCACTCTCCTCCCAGAGACAGGGATAAAACCCAGGAGTCCTGGCTCCCAGCCCCCCCCTTCTTTAACCACTAGACCCCACTCTCCTCCCAGAGGCAGGGATAGAACCCAGGAGTCCTGGCTCCCAGCCCGCCCCCAGCTCAGATCCATTCTGTCTCCCGTTGCGGCGCTCAATTCAATTACGTTTATTACCCACAAACAGCAAATATAAACAACCAGGAATAATTGGGAGCGTCGCTGCGCTGATTTCATCTTGACTGGAAGCCCTGGGGGGATTGGACTTGTGGAGGGGAGGGATCATGGGGTCGGGGTGGGGGGTTGTGAGGTGCGGGAGTGTGACACACACACACACACACACGGATCTAGCTCTATAGCACACACGGATATAAACACACTGGGGCCTTGTGCGGTTATACTCACAGATTGCCTCTCAGACCCCAGGCTCAGGTACCCCTGCAGGAATAGCAGGGGGCTGCAGGTTGGGAGTGAGGGGCACCCGCAGGGCTGGGTGGAGAGCCCAGGGCTGGGCTAGCAGGGGGCCTATGGGTTGGGATTGAGGGGCACCGGCAGAGCTGGGGGGGGGGGGGGGCCCGGGGGGGGGGCAGGCGGGGCTGTGGGTCAGGAATGAGGGGCACCGGCAGAGCTGGGCGTGGAGGGGGGTGTAGGGCTGGGCTAGCCAGGGCTGCGGGTCGGGAGTGAGGGGCACCGGCAGAGCTGGGCGTGGAGGGGGGTGTAGGGCTGGGCTAGCCAGGGCTGCGGGTCGGGAGTGAGGGGCATTACGCGGTGTGACTGCCAGAACCAAACCCATTCCCTCTCGCTGTCTGTTTAAAGGAACCCCCCCCCCCCCCCCCCCCAGCCCAGGAGCCCAGGCCAGATGTTTCCTAGCCCCAGCCCTGCCCCCCGCCGGCTCCTTAGCGCACTTTCAATTTCGAGTTCCAGCAAAGGGGGAACCTGGACTCCGGTTCCTCGCTGCCTCACATCTCCCCAGGCCTTGCTTGGGGCTGCAGCTGTGGAGCTGGGTTGGGCAGGGACAGGACAGACGGATCCAACGGCCCTGATCTCCCACCGCCCGGCTGGAGGTGAGTCCGTCCGGCAGGTTCCTGGGTGGGTGGCAGGAAGGCTCCAAGCCCTGGAGAGATGGGCGGTCTGGGTTGGTGCGGGGGGGGATGGGGGGAGGCAAAGAAAGGGCTGGTGCAGGGGTGGGAGTGAAACCCCCCCACCCATGTCTCATGGCTCCAAGAAGGCTGATTCCCCCCCATGCCCTGGTGGAGAAGGACCCAGGAGTCCTGGGGCACCAACAGCCCATGAGCTCCCCAGGCGATGCTGTGGCTAAGAGGGCAAGCGCGCCCCTTGGCTGGAGAATAGCGAGTAGGAACTAGGAAGTGGGGTCCCCTCTGGATACAGCATGGGGGACACCAGGACTAGAGACTGCGCCCAGCTCTGGGGGGATGCATGTCAAACAGGACGTCAGGAAATCGGGGAGGGGTCAGAGAAGAGCGACGGGGACGATCCGAGGGCTGGAAAACCTGCGGAAGGAGCTGGATCTGTGGAGTTTCTCCCAGAGGCGGCTCAGAGGGGACTGGATCCCGATCGGTCAGCGTCTCCCTGGGGAGGAGATTTCGGGGAGCGGAGGGCTGGTTAGCTCAGCCGGGACAGGCAAAGCGGGAGCTGACGGCTGGGGGGTGAGGCCAGAGGAATCGAGACTGGAAACAAGGGGAAGATTTTCCCCAGGGTGGGGAACAGATCCTTGGTGTGATTGTCCCAGGGACAGGGCAGATGCTCCATCGTTGTGCTATCCATCGAGAGCAGGTGTCTCTTGCTGCAAGCTCACCCATCAGCTATGGGCTGGACGGAGGAATCCCTGGCTCTCCGGCCTGGGCTATGCAGGAGCTCAGATGGGATGATCGGAACAGGAATAGAACCCAGGAGTCCGGACTCCCAGCCTCACTTCCCCCCCCATCAAATCCGTGACCCAAGCAGGAAGGGCCAGGGGGTGTGGTTGACAAGTGGCAAATCTGACACCAATCAAATCCAATGTTGAGACCAGCGACCTGTGGAACACCTTGCCACTGGATGCTGCCAGGGCCAATTGCTCAGCCAAAGGACAGGATGTTGGCTCAGATGACAGGGAATGCCTGGAATTAAAGCAGTGGCCTGGGGGACTCAGGGCCCCAGGAAACTCATTGCCAATCACAGTACAGAAGAAAGCAAGAGGTGGTCCTATGAGTAAGGCTACGTGTCTGTCACAGAGGTCAGGGAAGTCACGGATTCTGTGACTTTCTGTGACCTCCGTTACTTCTGCAGCCGCCGGTGCTGGCTCAGGGGCTGCCCGAGCCAGGAAACCCCTGGGCCAGCAGCAGCAGGAATTTTTGGG